ATAAAAGGAAGAATTGAGAGATTTCAAATGTGTTTTCTGTTTTTAATTAAAAATAAAAAATATAATTTATTCAATATTTTATGAAGAGAAAATTGAATTCGATATTAAACGATGTTAATTCATTTGATTTGTTATTTATCTTATGTATATTTTTTGTTCAATCTCGTAAAATTTTATTGATAATATAATCATTGCAAAATAAAATGTAAAAAAGTTGATAGTACCGAAGTAACGTTAATTCGGGCCTCCTTTACTAACATTTCCGGGTCACGAAGCTTTTCCACGGATGGTATCGTCATCTTGAACGATCTTTCGGGTGCCGGTCACGCGACTGTCACAGATACAATTCTTACTACTACTATTACTATTACTACTACTACTACTAGCAGTACTTCTATCACTATTACATCAGATGGTAAATGTAGTGTGTCTATGTACTTTGAAAAACCATTCTACCTCTCGAGGACATCTTCCACGTTTATATCCAAGCGTAGTTTTACTCACAAATGTGTTTATATCTCTTCGTAGTTTACCTATGTAGATTTATGTTTCCAAGTATATAACTACTTCGACAATTATTTTCACATTTTAGTTAAAGTCGACGGTTTCTTCTTCGTAAATCGTAAGCCATCATTTACTGCAGCTTTTAACTCTTTAGTCGAATCTAACGGGTGACTAAATTTAAATTGACAAGATAAAAAAATATGTTGTTTTTCTTATCATAAAATAATTATTAAGATTTTTTGTTTTTTTTTGATAATATTATATAAAAAGTAAAATTAAATAACTCATGCAATATACTTGGTAAGTACAAAGATACATAAATGAAATCGATTAAAAAGAAGAAAAAAAAATAACAATAAAAAGAATAAAGCACATAAGGTAAAATCTCAAAAAATAATCATCGAGGAACATTTTCCGAAGAAAAATCGTTCGAAGGATAAGCACCAACGAGGGTAAAAGTGTATAGGAGAAAAAAGTAAGGTACATGGATACACACACATATATATATTAAAAATCTATACGCGTAAGGGAAAGATTCGATTTCTCTGTTGCAACGCCGCAGGCAAGAAAAGTAACGAGAACGTAGTGTCAATATTTCGGATTCGTGATACCGTGAGCTTTACAATTTTTTCAAGAAGATCGATCGATACTCTGTGATTGAATTGTTTGCACATCTCGCGTTGAGAAATTTGACAAAAACGAAATATAAATAAAAAGACAAAAAAAAACAACAACAACAACAACTACATCGTTTGAACGAATTTGATAAAAAGAGAGTGAAAAAATGGGAGGGTTTGGGAAAGTTGTGCTGCTGACGTTTTTCATTTCAGAGAAGAAAATTCGTGAAAGATCATTCCTCCTTGTATTCGACGAATCTTCAAACAGCTTTGATAAAAAACTTTTCCTTTTGTTCTTCGAAGATCGTGGAAACAATTCTACACTCTTTATCTCCCTTTCTCTGTCTTTCTTTCTTTCTTTCTTTCTTTCTTTCTTTTTGGCATCTCTCTCTCTCGCACACTTTTATATTGTTAAACGTATTTCAGGTAATCTTCGGTCTGCATCTCGAACGAATTTCTTTTCTTCATCTTGTTTCTTTTCTCTCTCTCTCTCTCTCTCTCTCTGTCTCTCTCTTTCTCTTTCCCTTTCTCTTTTTCGTCTTCTTCGCAAATTAAAAGTTCTACTCTCCCCATCAAGTTGTATATATATATATATAGGATAAAACAGGAAACCAGTAAGTTTCTCTCTTTCTCTTTCTCTCTCTCCGATATCTTTTATTTCCAGCATCACTCTTCCAAAGAGATGTGTCTTCAATTATCTTGATTACATCTTCCTTCACGATTTCCTCCTTTAATTGAATAAAGAGGTCAAATGAGTTTCGCGTATTCATCAATAGCATCGGTATCTTATTGATCTTCGATCCTAATCACTGGTAACAATGTTTTTTACAATATATTTACTAATTGTCAAGGACAACATAAAAAGACAAAGAAGAAGAAGAAAACTAAGAAATGGAAATAAAGTCGAGGAATTAAACGTAAATATAGAATCCAAGAAATCAGTAGTATAACCAAACCAGTAGTATAACCAAACCACAAATGAAACCATTTCAGTAGTTTAACACTAGATATACCAGACCAGTCATTTTGACTGGTCGGGCCATTTTAATTCAAAATTTCTACTTCATGTAACATTTGATTTCTGTAAATAATTAAGCGTATTGTTATTTAAAAATGTCTATAAATTATTGTTAAACATTTTTTGTTATTTTTTAAGAGTAGAAATAGGTATACTGAAAATGGTGGTATATCTAGTGTTAAACAAAAGGCTATCGGAATAATTTTTAGTAGTTTATAATTAAAGACCGATAAAGCAACATTTAATAGTTAGAGTAAAAGGCAAGTGAGTTAAGTTTTAATGATGTAAAATAAAAGACAAGTAAGACTTATTTTAAGTATTTGAAATAAACAACCGATAAGACGATTTCTAGTAGTATAAATAAAAGACTAGTGAAACGAGATTGCAAACGAAATAGTACTTCGCCATTTCCTATTCGATCTTCATCAACGAATCATTAACGTAAGGTAATACATCCTCGCATCGAGAATTGTCATGCTGCAAAACCACTTTATCGTGTCACTCGTTGTATTTCGGCTGTTTATCTTTATTGAAAGACATTGAAAGCATTAGCTTGGCTCAAACGTATTAATTGCGTTCGATAACGATCGTTTGTGATTGTTGACACAAGTCTTCATTAGGTAATGCCTCCAATTCTGCGTTTTCGAAAGCCTTCACTTTTACACCGCAATATCGGTCTTCGACGTGAAAATCACCGTTCTTTAAGCATTGAAACCACTCAGGACACATTCTTTCCCTAATAGGGATCTCATTATAAGTATTTGAGAACATTCGATAAGTCTCAGCCACAAATTTCTACATCTTGAAGCAAAAAATTAAAGTATCTCGCAAATAACGAGAATTTGGCTCCTAAACTGACATTTATAATCAAGAATAGCTTTTAGTTGACAACATAAATTGATTAATGTTTCAATGGGATTCCCAAGCTTATTGTATGACGTTTATGATCTATTTATTTCGACCACTACTAACAGCTAAAACACTTTATAGAAAAATGGGATTGTATAACTAATAATTAACAAATTATAAAGCCTAAAAAACAAATTGCTCTTATTCGGTTTTCACAAAAGGCCGATCTCTTCGATCACGAGTGTGGGAGGGTTGCAGCACGAACTAAGCATTTCCCTTGTATAGATGACAGTAAGGACGATTAACCAATCCCTTCCCACTATTACCAAGTAATATGTAGCGAGAGTACTGACATAGCAGCACTTGATTGACCACAGGTACGGAAGGGCTACAGCACCACTGAACCTATCCCCTGTACAGGTGTTAACAAGTCGATCGACTGATCCCTCCGATTTTCACACTGTTACCAAGTAACAGTTTGTGGGAGTACCAATATACAAGTACTAGGATCGACCGTAAGTGTGAAGAGGCAAGCAACGTGATTACACCTTTCCCCCTATACGGGTGATTGATAAAACGTTTTGGTAAATGCGTAAATAATTAATCATTTAATGAATATACGAATGCCTAGAATAGCGTGTAAAAGAAATAATCACCAGGAATTAAAATCTGACGATAAAAGGAGACGTTGGTGAGAACTTGCTTCCCCCTATGGAATACCCTATAGTAGAAATTCCGACGAAATTCCCTACTTCAAATACTATTACATCCAGCGAATCGTCTTACGTCATCGATGACATTATTACGAATATTTACACATTCGTTCTTGTGGTAATAGAAGAAGTCACGGAACTCGAAATAATCCAGTTCCTGAAATTAACCGCTCCTAACTTATTTACTGTATACTAATATACAGATTGAGTACAAAAAAACTCATTATTTATTATTTGCCATCCTTTTACTGTTATTTAATCCTTGAAAAAGTTAACCTTCCCAGTCGTGATTAAACTTTGTGAATGCAGAATAGTTACAACAGGCTTATTGTTAGTAAAATTTTATAAAAAACTTCGTATTTCTTGGGACGTAACAAGCCATTTTATTTTCTCAATGTTATACAACGAATTCGTAATTCGTAAGTGGAAATGTCAGGAGAAAAGCTCGAAGCCAATTATACACTGCATCGTGTACCTTTCACCTCGCACGATAGCACACTCTGTTATTGGCGACCTTTCGAAATGCATGACTACTACACGATCGATACTACTCTTTCTATCTTTGTCTTTGTCTATACTTTCCCTCTCTTTTAATCAAATCGCGATTAATGCGACAAAAATAGCGATGGATACTCTATTACTGTGTTCAAAACTTTGTGCTGATTATATAAAGGGTCAAATATATTTAATATTATATTTTTATTTACATAAATATAATTTTTTTTTAATATACAATATTAATTTATACGTTTTATATTGCAAATGAATTAATTTAAATATTCAATATTTTATGATTTAATTTATAATATGAATAATCGTAATATAAAGTAAAAATACTTCGTAATATTTGAGATTCGCTTTAAAAGTGGACAAAGGGTACAAAATCAATGAAATATGTGTCCGATTTGACCATGTATCAAAGTTATCTCCACATTTGTGTTCAAATAATCTACGCCAATGTATCTTTATAAAATATACTAGAAATAACCATCATTAAAATAAATCCGTTAACAGTCCTTTTATACACGTGCTCGAAGTAGGATATTAAATAAAACTATTGTTATCAAATAAATTCAGAAATCACAATCAAATTACGCATATCAAATAGAAATTGATGAAATTCTTCTAGTAAGAGAATCAAGCATTGAAAGTAAATGAAGAATAATCATTTTAAGTAGTTTATGTGGAGATGATAGAGATAAGCTATCACAGATTATTAAAACCCGGAAATGATTCTAACTTTGAAACATGGTCAAATAAAATACATGTTTGTATGAGCTTTTCTTTCCTGGTTTCACGTATAACGAAATACCGTGTATATTTAAAGGTAGAAATTAATGAAAATAGTAATCACCAACAGCGTCTTAAATATTCCGGCTTATCTCTAGAAAGAAAAGCAAGGACTAAGAGAGGGTAACCTCGAAACAATTCTATTTGAGTGTGTTCCTCGGTTAAACGTGGTTCCTCGAAATCAAGGAGGTTGCGTTTCACCTTAACAACGTACTCTGCTTATCTCTGTTTTCCTCGCGGAAATAGCGTTGCCGGGTACGAAACATTTTCAGTGAAAGACATTCCATTCTCTTGCTGTCTCTTCCTTCTTCTTCTTTTTTTTCTTTCTTTCTTTCTTCTCTTATAAGAATACTATTTTCATTTTCTTCTTTTAAACCAGTTAAGGGTTAGAACGTCCGTCCTACATTTTACTAACATTACCAAGGACATTAATGCAAAGTGTGTACTCGACGTTGGTAGCTGCATTCTAAAAATAAAGAAATAACAAATTTTTCTTAATACCTACGTGTGAGTAAGAACCAGTCTCGCATTCAAACGTATACGATAAAAGTACAAAGGGAGTCAAAAAATAAAAAAAAATAAAAAGAAAGAAAGAGAAAAAGATATAATACTTAAGGTTATGCAAGATTGCGTAATAAAAACATGAAAAGAAGAAAAATTTATTAAAAAGTCCACGTGTGTGAGTAAGCACCAATCTCGTGTTAAAATGGATATGATAGAGGTATATACATATACAGGGAAAAAGATATACCTAAATTTAACCGAGCGTACTTAGTCTGAAGAACGTTCAGTGTGAAATAGTATAGTATACGAAAAAGAAAAAAAGAAAAAACAAAGAGAAAAGGGGAGAAAGACAATAGAAACGATGAAAGTGGTTTCGCGCATAAAAGCAGTCGATAACACATAGAAGCTTTAGCTGACCTTTACTTTTGCCGCCCATCCACGATCATCGTCGACATGAAACTATCTCTCACTCTCTCACTCTTCTTTTTCTTTCTTACGTTTCACCCTGTGGAGGCCGCAAGCACTCTCCCTTGCACTGTACAGTAGATATTCCCAACATTTATGAAAACTGAATGTAGGTTAGAACTTTAGAATCGACCCACATTTTCGTCTAACCTTCGAACCCGCTACTTTCGTCCTTCTCTCTGAAAGTGTTACCTAAGAGAGAAAGAAAAAGAGAAGGAAAAAGAGAAAGAAAAAACAAAGAAAGGCTAAAAGTCAGTAGTGAAATATACGTTTATTCTACTATAACGTCTGTACATTTGATCGTTTCTACTACTTAAATATACGAACGAACGAACAAACGAACGAACGAATGTAGAATCAAAGAAACTTTCTCTTTTTTTGCTTTTTTTTTTTTTTGTTTTACGTTTGCGTCTGAATTGTCGTCGATGTGTCGACTTTTCAATTTGTACGTACAAATCGTAAAAGGTTGTATGGAACAATGGGCCAGCTTTTACGAAGTAGGACAGTATTTCTGTAAATTCGTGGAACGGACCTACGTTGAATGTATGAATAGTACAGGTATATGTACGCACGTGTGTATGTTTATGTGTATGTATCATACGTTCAAAGGCTTTCCAAGGCTCCTGAAAGCTTTCAAAGGATATATACGAATGGTTACTAAATTTAAGACGAACTTACGACGCGTAATAAGAGCCTTCAGTGGGAAACCATTCGAATGTCCATTCAATATGTTCATCGAGATATGAAATATATACATGTTTGTGCATGTGTGTATATTTAAATGCATAGATAACAAATTCATTAATCATTAATCAATAAAGTTTATTATTTCAAAGATAAAGATATCAATATTTGTAGTTATGTATATTGTATTTTAGCTTTAATTACATCGACAAAAGAGCAAGTACTTTCGCACGTTCTGATTCGATCGAGCATCGTTCATTGCGATTATCCTACGAGAGATACGTGAATCAAATTAACCCTTGAAAATCTATTGTGTCCGTACCATAAGCATACTATTGAATACAACTACATCCTTATCCTCTGCTTTTGGGTTTTATCATATCTATTTCATTGGAACAGATTATTATTTTGTTCAACTTTTCTTTCAAAAATCAAATACCTGTGTATAATTTATATTCAATTACCAAATTTAGTGTCTAATAAATATAATTGTTCATGTGCATAAAATAATAGAGAAAAATACAATTATTATCATTTGAATATACTTTCGATTTCCCAACTCGTTCATTATCATTAAATTCAATTATTCAATTAGTAAATAATGTCATTGTGTCCTATATCGCTAGCACGAGAGGAACGTTGAACGTAACCACAAATACGGGCAAACCAAACCGCGAAGCCGAACTATGCCGATTGATTTACCTATCGATTACGTGCCATGCTAAATTGATTTTCATTCTATCAGAGAATATAATGATAAATATACACATACACATACAAAGATACCCAAGATATGTGTTAACGTTTTTCAAAGATTTTTCTTCTACAAAGAACAAATCTTTGCAAAACGAAGCCCGATCTTCGCACCTTCTATTCTCTCTTTCATTCTCCTTTTATCATTTTTTATTCTTTTTTTTTTTCTTGTTGTTGTTACCTATTCTCTTTCTCTCTTTCTTTCATTTCAATCTTTCTTTCATTCACTCACTCACTCACTCACTCACTTGACAATGCACTCAAGTGCCGTCGATGTGCGGTGAGTGTGAACGAGGCGATTAACCCCGCATCGGTCCCCCTTATCAAGCGATTCACCCCCTTTTACTTCCTATGTCGTACCACCATTCTCTTTTCTTTTGCACACGCACGCACCAGTGTACAGTCTTTATCAAAATACTCGGAGTGATATAAGGTCTTTACACTTCGTCAACACGATAATCAAAAAAAAATGTTAAAGAAATAAAACATGAAATGTTTACAAAATCACATTTCTTTAAAATGTAAAGCTCAATTTTCTCTACAAAACGAAACTAATAAAGCAGATCAAAGTAAACAACAATTTAAATTCGTATTTAATTACTCACTCTGTATATCAAAATGTCGTTAACTCCGATTGACATTCTCGAACGAGTGACGAATACTAGATATTGATGAAAACCTACTGTTACCAAACAAACAATAAATAATACGTCGATAAATGTCAAAAATGAATACACGAAAAGAACAAAATACAAACAAACAAACAAACAAACAAAAAATATCTTCCTCAAATAATAGAAAAAAAAAAAAAAAAAAGAAAGAAACTAACAAAGTTGATGTAACATCGATAAAAAGAATAACTCGTGGAAACTGATAGTATAATCGTTATCGAAAAAAACATCTCGACAATCTCATAGTCCCGCACAGTTAGACACTCGATAGAAATGAAATACTTTTGATAGGAACTGTATATATAGATACGGGGATATACAGGCTCGTCGATAATCGACACGCGCGAGCATATGCTTTTTACTACTACTCAAGGGGAATGAGAAAGACAGAGAATTGATAAGAGAGAGAGAGAGAGAGAAGAGAGAGAGAGAAAAAATGAGAGAGGGTTGCGTACACCGAGACAGTCGCATTCAACCGTGTCGATTTCACGTTATCGATGCTGTGAACAACGCGATTTACCAACCAGGAATAATTTCCCCTTCATTTCAACTACCACCAGTTCAAGCCCCTTTTTATTTATTGTTATTGTTGTTGTTATTTATCACGCGACAAGAGATTAAATTGAAGAGATTTCTAAATCCATGATCATTTTACAAGGCTTATCGTAGATATTTGAATTTCTCGTGTTCTTTCTTTCCCTTTCTCGTTCTCTTCTTTTCTTTTTTTCTTTTTTTCTTTCTCTCTGTGCATATTTTATTGGATAATCATTCTTTGTATATGTATATATGTAGATACATCTGTATGTATGTGTGTGTGTGTGTGGCTCCCCCTTTCTATTTATTAAATCGTATAGAATTTCTCTTGATTTCATTTCCATCTCGTTTAGTCTAATTTATCGAGAATGTATTCCGATAGAATAAATGAGAGATAGAATAGGATTGATAAATTAAGCGTTAATTAAAAGCTCCGAACGAGAATGATATATATATATTTATAGTAAAATTGATAAAAGAGCGTAAAGTATTTTAAAAGCCTAATAAATTAGGTTTTCCAACGTGAAAACTTTTATCCGTTATATCGGATCAGTTTTTTAGATTCCATGAATTGTTCGTTTATTGGAGAGAGAAAGAGAGAGAGAGAGAAATTCTTCAAATTCCGATCGAAATACGTCAAAGTTGTTTAATATTAATGGACAAATATTTTAATTTCTTAATTATTTATGCATAAAGCTTAATCTATGTGCTTATAATTGTTCTCAAATTTGTACTCTTTGCATTTCTAATGCAAATACAATTTTATTTTCTTGTTATTCATAATTTGACAGAAAAATGTCGGTTACTTACAATTATTATATCATAATTATATGAAAATATTAGTTATAAAATTAAAGTTATAAGGATTTAAATAAATGAATGAGAAGAAAACAATGAAATTCGTTACGTTAAAAATACATGAAAATTAATTATACTTTATTTTATCCAGATTGAGGAAAAAATAAAGGGAATTTGTGATAAGTTACGCAATACGGGGATTAAGGTTGTTGCATTGAATAATTTAGACAAAATTATAAAAATCTCTTTGGCATGTGTAATATATAAAATATAAAAGAATTTTTTTATGAGAAGAGCCATACGAAAAAAATGCTCGTTCCTTGATTAAAAAAAAAAAAAAAAAAAAAAAAAAAAAAAAAAAAAA